GGGCATTCTGCTTATAAAATCAAACGTTTTAGCAGCGAAAGTCAGAAAGTTGTGGCAATTAACTATTCTTGGCATGCGGCTACACCGCAGTAATATCGAGGACTCCCGCACCCACTGTCCGAAAGACTCTGGTGGTACTTGTTATATTTGCTGTAGGCCCTTTTTTTGGCCCTACTTGCATGTTTTGTTTTCAGGAACACTTTGTTGAAAGGCGGTAATGCAATAGATGCGTCGATCGCCTCGATGTTTTGCTTGGGTGTAACAAATCCACAGAGTAGCGGCATTGGCGGTGGCTTCATCATGACGCTTTATAACAGGCTGGCTTTTCTTTGCAGTTGTTTAGACACTGGTTTGTTTGCAGCTGAAACAAATTCAGCTAAAGGAGAGTTGGTTACTTTTTTTGTTCCGAAATTGTAAAATTTGAATTTGCAGGTATGCGCCAAAAACACATGGCTTCCAGGTACATGTGAGCTACCATCCCAATCTTAAAAGCCAGGTAGTAACCAGGCTTGCCAGTGCAATCACACATTTTTATGTAATCGTCTGCGCTGAGTTGTGAATGCAGTGTTGCAATTTGCAAAATTTGTTGCGTCTGTACGCAAAACATGCCAAGACAGAAGCTCATCCTACGCTTGATGGCCTCGCGCATGAATAGCGGACATCATCAGAAAAATACTACTTCCCACTCAGTCTAGCTATGGAATTAAAGGGCTGCAAACAGTGTCCTGAGCCAAACACTCAACTGCGCGCACGCGAGATCTGAACGTGTTTTAAAGATAAATTTGAAATATTTTGGTTGCACGCTGACATAAAATATCTTCGCAAAATTTCAGCTCCTCGAACACCTGACAAATGCTTGCGTTAAACCTGAATTTGAAATCTTTAACTCACACAAGGGCGTCGCTGCGAAATGTTAGATTCCTATGGGTGGTTCCTGCCAAAAATTAACGTGTTTCTCTCTAGACGTCTGTGCGTAAAAGCCAGGTGTCCGCAGGGTCATACATGGGGCAGGGGTATATTCAACGTCCCAAAGAAATGTTCTCCCATGCTTAATATTTCATCAGCGTAATGAATTTTTTTCTCGACTGCATTTTAAAGCAAAAGTTTGCCTTATTAGGAGCATGGAGCGGTGCATTGTTATCGATGCTCGAGAGACAGCACCCGCAAAAGCTCATCGGGATATGTTTGTAAAGGACGAATTCGGCTCGAAATATGGTAACCAAATTTCTATCTTCTTTTTTATTTGAAGCCTAAAAGCAAATGCGAGTGGGAGGTATTGGGAGCGAGGGTTAGCAGACTGTCGAAGCGCAGCAGATTACAAGCCGCGGCAGTATAAAGCAGACCGTGAAGACGCTATGTCGTGTTTTACATGTTTCAGTTTAAGTGGTACCGGAAATTGTCAGATTAATCAACAGTTGGAAGCTAAAATTAACCTTTTTGAATGCTCGGACGCGATATTTAGAATACACTAAATAGCACTGCTAGATTTATTGCTTTTTGTGATAAAGCAATTTACCACCCCTTCCTTGGGGATTGCTGTTCTTGCCTAATTGCGTACCTATTGATAATTTGCAGGATTCCGAGCTATTGCAACTCCAGGTGAAATTTCGGGCTATTGGCTTGCGTTTCGAAAATATGGAAGCGGAAATGTTTCCTGGTATGATCTGGTAAAGCCATCCATTGATTTGTGTCGTGATGGTATCCCTGTATCCGAATATCTCGCATATGTGCTCAGCGTCAAGGAGAAGCATTTCAGAACATTGCCCTCCATGCAGTGAGTTTTTTGAATGAGACTTTAGTATGCAGTTTCAGAACTGAAGCTAATTTAGTTTTGTGAACATAGCGTCACCTTGAATTTGATTCTGAGAACAACGATCAAAACACGTAAGGGTCAAGGAAATGATTTCAGATTTCTGGCCTGTGCATGTTTTTATGCGTTTTTGCCGTGCAGCGCTAGAGCGCTGCAACAGGCAGCAAAAACGCATAT